GGCCCCTTCAACCTCCCCCTGCACGGTGACGGGCCGGATCGGTGCGCTTGGCCTTGGCGGGCGCTCGTTGCTTGCGCACCCGCCTGTCCTTCGAACGAGTCGGCCAGATTTGGAATCGGCTGGGGGTCTGAGTTGTCCCACCATTGGCTCCCGCCAGCAGGAAGGACGGGGGGGGCCAGGCTCGAAGTTCTGGGTTCGAAAAGGTTCTTGTGCCTTTCTCTGCCTGCGGGAGCCGTTATCGGGCCCTGGGACTGTCAGAAACGGATCCGGATGAAAAAGTGCACCAGAGGGACCTCGGGAGGGGTCCAGGGATCGATCTTGAACGGCTCCGCTTCTTTATCGGTATCGTTCAACCGATCCCCATCCCCATCCCCATCCCCTTCGAGACCACCACCAAATTACCACCCCACTTGGGGATACACCCCTCGAAACCCGAAGACAACGGCCTATATCCCCATCTAGGGGGGGAAATCGGCCAGCGGGGCCCAGGCCACGCCGCTGGGGATGGGGATCGGCTAGACGATACTCATGTTACCCCCCATTCGTGACCGACTTCCTCAGGGCCCATCCAGTTCAGGCCCCCAATGGCCGCCTCCGAGGCCCGATCGGAGTCCGTAGCCGTTCTGCCTCGAGCGCGCGGGCGCCCGTGGCTGCCACCCCCCGGCGGGCTTGCTCGGGTGCGTCACGCGCCGCTGCCCCAGCGGCCGGCGGCGGCCCATGGGCGCCGACGATGCGGACGACCCCAGCCGCCACCCGGTGGTGCAGGCCTTGCGCGGGCTGCTGCAGGCTTCCCACGGCGCCGCCGGCAGGGGCGTGCGCGACGCCATCGAGGACGCAGCCACGCTGGCCCACGAGGCCGCGGCCTGCGGCGCCGAGGGCGACCACGGCGCCGCCGCGGAGTGCCGCGAGGGGCTGCAGGCGCAGCTGGGGGACGCGCCGCTGCAGCCGCTGGCTCCCGACCTCGAGAGAGTCTGGGCCGTCCTCGCGGGCTCCACCGGCGGCGGAGGCGGCGCTGCCTGCCTGAGCATCGAGGAGGTGGAGGAGCTGGTCTTGGGGTACCTGTGCGCCCTGCCGGAGTTCCTGGGCCGCTCGCTGGTGCGGAGCCTCGTGCGTCAGGTGAGCGTCGCAGAAGAACGGCATAGCGTGAGCGGACATCGGCGCGTGAGCTCCCCGCGTAAGGTCGCGCGGAAGCGCCTTCGTCTCAAAGGTGGTGTGCCGCGCTGGCGGCCCGCGTAAGCCGCCACGTAAGATCGCTATGTAATCTTGCGTAAGACCCGTTCTTGATAGTCGCCCAGGTGGGGCTCGGCCAGGGCCTGATGTCCGACGGCGACCGCCACCTCGACGTGGGGAAGCTGATCAGGGGCTTGGAGCCCCAGCTGCCGCGTCACCTCGCCACCTCCAAGAAGATCGCGGGCGAGTGCTGCCAGCACTTGCTGCAGCGGTCGGAGACGATCGCTGCCAGCGTGCTGCGGAGGCTGGACTCGAAGAAGAAAAAACGGCATAGACATAAACTTTCGGCGCCCCGCGCGAATGTCTTGGATCCGCGGCCCCCCCCCCCCCGACGACGCCTCCGGCGCCGGCGCCAGGGAGGGGGGCCCGGCGCAGATCCAAGAAATCCGCGCGGACCGCCAAAATTTTGTGTTGCTGCCGCTGTTTCTGCCTCTGTGGACGTGGACGGGGACGGCGCGGTGAGCCGGGAGGACTTCCTGCAGGCGGCGCCGCACGCTCTCGCCCTGGAGGTGGAGAACCTCGCCACGGCCGCGTGCGTCGAGGCGCTGCTCGCCGATCCGGACTTCGCCGACGACTTCCACCCCGCGATGGCCGCCGCGCTCGGGATCTGCGAGGGCGCCTCCGAGGGCGTCGCCTGAGGGGCGCACACTTCCAGGGTCGGGGGGCCTCGGGCTCGTCGTCGAGGGCGAGCGCACGGGCGGGTGTCCCTCCTTCTCCCCCGCTCCCCCTCCTCTCCCTCCTTCTCCCCCGCTCGTCGAGGTCGGCCACGCGCAGAGGGGGGGTCGGGGGAGGGGGGAAGGCTTCTTAGAAGCGCCCCTGCTTCCCAGAGAGGGCGCGGTCCTGATGTATATAGGTGTGAGGCCGCCGCCCTCTAAGAAGCAGCCTCCTTCTGAGGAGCCTCCCCCCCCTGCCTCCACCCCCTTCTGCGCGCCGCCAGCGAGGGGCGCCCACTTCCGGGGTCGGGTTGGCCTCGGGCTCGTCGCCGAGGGGGGCTCGTCGCCGACGGGCGAGCGCACGGGCGGCGGGCGGCGCCCGAGGGGCGCGCGCTCCTTCTTGGGCGGGGGCCGCGGGCTCGTCGGAGGAGCTCGTCGCCGAGGGCGCGCGCGCGGGCAGCGGCCGCGGGCTCGCAGGTGGCCGCGGGCCCGAAGTCGGCGCGCGGCGATTTCCCGGGAGCGGGAGGCGCTGCTCCCCGCCTCGTTCCCTCCCGCTTCCTTTCTCGCCGAGGTAGGCGAAAGTCTGCGCCCGCTGTCTTCGCAACCATGTGTTGGACTGAGCGCCGCCCCCTTCTGAAGTTACGGGTCTCCCTCTGTCCGCTTATCTCAGCTCTGGCCCAACGTAGGACCTCCCCACAGAGGGCATCACCCCCATGCTGGCCCGATAGGTTCCCCCCCCATCCCGTGCCGTTCCTCATCGTCATTCCCCCCTGTCTGCTAGCCCCATCCCTTCGGACCTTTCCCAAGCGGATGCTACCCCTAGTCTTGACTTAACATTCCCTGCTTTTCTGAGCCTGGACGCCCTCGTCCTCCCCGTCGTCATCCTCGCCCCTCCTCTCCCTCCTTCTCCCCTCAATCCCCCCCCCATGGGAAACTCCTTTCCCTCTCCCCCGCTCCCCCTCCTCTCCCTCCTTCTCCGCCGCTCCTCTCCCTCCTCTCCCTCCTTCTCCCCCGCTCCCCCGCAATCCCTTTCTGAGCTCAGAAGCTGCTCTGGGATGAAGCCCTTCCCTTTCCCTGCTTGGACCCCCCATGGGAAACGAGGGTCCGCTGTCCCCCGCCCTGAACTTAGAAGCCCACCCATGTCTGCTGACCCCCATCAGAGAACACGCCTTAGATTGTATCAGCTAGCTGGTTCTTTGGGCAAGCCCAGGGGTACCACCAGTCCAGGATGTGATGTCTGTGGTGTGCTTTCTTTCTCCACGTTCTGGAGCGGTGCTACTTCCTTTCTGGAAATACAGTCCCCCGCTGTTCTCTGATGTCCCATCTCCGGACCACAACCAGAGGGGTGTTGCCCCCCTGCTGGATGCAGGAGCGTTCCCTTCTGGTCCCTTCTCCGCCTCCTCCTCCCACCCTGTCCGCTGACCACCCCGCTCCAGACTTCCTCACGAGAGGGTGTTGCCCCCTATGTTCGGGGGTGGACAGAACCCCCAACAGTGACACGTCGATTAGTGAATTGTCCTTTTTCGGTTCTCGAGAGGGCGCCGCGGCCGTTATTTTCCAGGCTCGCGCCCGCCAGGTTTGGGCCTCAGGTCGTTTTCACTAAACCACGTTTTACTAAAGGGAGGTCTGTCCATCCCCGACATGTGGGGATTTGGATCTCGGACCCTTGCCTGCCACCCCCAGACCTTCGCATGGAGGGTGTGTGCCTGCATCCCGGACTTCGACGTCCGCCCCATGGGGGAGGGCGGGGAGGGGGAGCGGAGGGGGAAAAGGGAGAGGAAGGCAGAGAGGGGGCGGGGGAGCGCGAGCGGCTGTGAAGGGCGAGGGGAGGAGCGAGGCTCCGGCGATCGCAGACGTGGATCAAGGGGGCGTGGATTGGCGACGGGTCCCGTTTCCGTGGGAAACCGCGGCTTCCCGCCGCCGAGCGAGGCGGCACCGGCCGCATTTTTGGGGGGGGCACCTCCCCCGATCCATGGACTTGGCGACCGCGCGCTCGCTAATCCATGTTTGCGCGCCCCCGAGAGGTGAACGGAGTACCCATTGTTCATTCCTTAGTATTCGAAGGTTCTTTGATTTTGGGGGGGCCAAGATCCTTTCGTTTCTATTTGCTCTATCCTGGGCCTCTTCCTGGCCACTAGGGGCCAGGAGCAATCAGAAACGAGCACAGTCAGAAATGAGCACGACTAGAAATGAACGACGTGTAGGGGTGGAGAGGAGAAGCGCCCGGCGCGCCCTCGCCACATCTGGCCACCGACCCAACCCTGTGTAAGAAAAAACAGTGCGCGGATGGGGGGGGCGCTGGGGCGAGAGGAGAGTAGCACCCGGATGCTGCTGTGGTGGAAAGGTAGTGTGAGGGGGAGGAATTGTTCCTCCTTCTCCTCCTCATCCTCATCCTCCTCCTCATCCTCCTCCTCCTCCTCCTCCTCCTCCTCCTCCTCCTCCTCCTGCTCCTCCTCCTCCTCCTCCTCCTCCTCCTCCTCCTCCTCCTCCTCCTGCTCCTCCTCCTGCTCCTCCTGCACCTCCTCCTCCTCCTGCTCCTCCTCCCCTAGGGGGGGAAGGGGAGGAGGAGAGCTCGCGGACCCCTCTGACAGACGCCGAGCTGCGGGTGACGCACGGGGGAGGGGAGGGGAGGAAGGAGACAGCAAGCGTGCGCAGGACGGCGCGTTCGTTGCTCCGTGTCCCGCCTGCGTGCCTGGAGTCCGTCTTGGCCAGTGCAAGATTCGAGGGAGTGGCCGGTGACGACGACGAGGACGGCAACGACGAGCAGGAAAAAAACGGAGGAAAACGTTGACGAAGAAGAAGAAGAAGAAGAAGAAGAAGAAGAACGAGAAGAAGAATAATAACATAATTGGGAGCAGAGGAGGAGCTGCAGCAGCAAGAGCCGCTTCCATGGAGGATTACAGTGCCTACGGCGCCGAGCAGCAAGAGTCGGGGAAGGAAGAAAAAGGAATGACGAAGACAGAGACAGAGAGAAGCAGGAGGAGGAAGGCACGAGGCACGTACGACTGTGAATGTGGCTCGTGAGCATCGTTCTCCATCCTCCTGCTTCCCTTGGGGGGCACGCACAACATGCCGCCTACCAGATCGTGGTTGTCATCGCAGCTCGGGTGCGACTAACTGAGGTCGGCACGGGCACTCGCGCCTGCGCTGGCGAGAAAAAGGGCACGCCCATTGTGGCATCGGCCTCGACCGTCGCATCGTCATGGGGGGGGGGGCGGGGCGGAGAGCGGAAGCAGGGTGGGGAGGGGGAGCAGGGAGGCGGCGGTGAGGTGGGGAAGGAAGAGGAGGAGGAGGAGGAGGAGGAGGAGGAGGAGGAGGAGGAGGAGAGAAGAACGAGGAAGAGTAGGACGAGAGAATCCCCATAGAGTCCCACGTCATGCATTTCATTGTTCCGGCGCCTCTGATGAACATGCGATTCACCGAACATCGTTCGCACTTGAGGAACAATGAAGAGTCTTTACAGCCTCTAGAAACACCCTGCGACGTCGCCGCTGGGACCCTGACCATGCACACGGATTAGACATGTGCAAAATCGCACATCGAACGTACGATATAGAGTTTGCGTTCCTGAATATAGTACGGGAAGATCTTGAGCGGGAGCCATATTCCAAAGCAAGTTCTGAGGAGATCTCGATCGGAGCATTCCTGAGCAAATTGTGGAGCGGCCCGGACCAGCACCGCTTTTCCGCAGTCATTTGCGAGGACGTCGTTGGCGAGAGTCACATTCCTGAGTGAATTCTGCGGAAGTATCACGGCAGCAGCAAAAGCAGCTGCAATAGACTACCAGAGGGACAAGCAAAAGTAGCATCAGCAGTGGCAGCTTAGTCGCAGGAATTGCAGCAGCACCAGCAGTGGCAGTGCGAATGGCAGCATCAGCAGCAGTAGTCGCGGTTGCAGTGGGCGTATTCGACATGCTTGCCGGAGCGGACCCCGATCGGCAGGCATGTGCACTGCTGATGCGCAAGCCACGTGCTGGAAGAAGCGTGGCGCAGGCTGGGCGGCGGAAGGCACGCGGTGCAGGCTCTGGTGGAAGCCGTGGGGTGCAGGCTGCCTGGTGCGAGCTCCCTGTGGAGGAAGCCTCGTGCTGTCGGCAGCGTGGTGCAGGGGCACCGTGGTGGCGCACGAGGCGGCCACGGAGGAGGAGCCCAGCGAGAACCCGGCACGGCCACCCCGCGCACGGGGCAGCGACGGGCGGCGCCCCTCCTCCACTCCCTCCTCCTCCTCCTCCTCCTCCTCCTCCTCCTCCTCCTCCTCCTCCTCCTCCTCCCTCCTCCTCCTCTCCTCCCTCCTCTCCTCCTCCTCCCTCCTCCTCCCTCTCCTCCTCCTCCTCCTACCTCCTCCTTCCTCCTCCCTCCCTCCCCTCCCCCTCCCCCTCCCCCTCCCCTCGTCGAAACCCAGCAGGGCCAGCCAGCGCACGGGGCGGGCGCGGGGCGGCGAGAGCCTGGAAGCCCGTGCCGGTTCAGGCCGGGGCCTCCCGGATGGGGTCCGAGCAGATGGGGGTCGGAGGGTCGTCGGCGACGCGGCTCGATGTGAAGCCCGAGTTCCTCCACGCCGACGTCGCGGATGCGTCGACGATGCACTGGCGGTGCGGCGCGATCCTCCAACCCCATATGGGGGGGGCATGTCACGATGCGGCGACGAGGCGGCCACGGGCGGCAACCGAGTGACCACCTGGAAGCCCATGCCAGTTCACGAGGAAGACAAGTGAGAATCCTTGGCCGCCCAGGCCGCAAGCCGGAGTCCACTGTGTGGGACTTGATCGGCTAGGAAGGAGCCGCCGAAGTTGCCAACACTAGCCCAGCACATAAAAAGAAAAGCATGTGCTGGAGCCCTTGCTCCATTACCATTTTGTTGTAGTCATCGCCACCCTGATCAGTAAGTTCTTGATTGATAGAGGTGTTGATGTGGACGTCGTGGCATGCATCTGTCCAGCTCGCGCTTGGTTGCCGTCGGTAACGAATCGTGTAGGCACAGTCGGCTCAGCTGGTTCGAGGTTGAAGACCTACACGTTGCAGGCAGTGGTGTTACCGCTCAGGCAGTGGTGTTACCGCTCCGGACTATTGGCAATCGATTGTTGATTGTGTTTCCTAATCATCGATCAGTTTTCTTGCCCCGTTGATGTTGATCCCCAGTTGTATTCAGAGCACTGCAATGGGAGGAGGACGAGGAGAAGGACGAGGCGCTGGAGGAGTCAGGGAGGAGGAGGTGGATGAGGAGCAGGGTGAGGGAGCCTTGCCCGCATGGGACGTGCACACATTTGCCGTGCCGTCCATCCTCCCTGAGCCTTGCTTGGATTAGCGCGGCCTAGCGTTTCCTCGATTGGTTTTTTCTGATTTGGGGGGAAGGAAGGACGAGGGCGAAGAGGAGGGCAGTAGAGGGGGAGAAGAAGAAGAAGAAGAAGAAGAAAGCTCTCACTCCTCCTCCTCCTCCTCCTCCTCCTCCTCCTCCTCCTCCTCCTGCTCCTCCTCCTCCTCGCCTTATTCCCCCCCCGCCCCCCTGCAACCCCTGATCTACAGGGCCCCCAGACCCCCACCCCACACACAAACACCCCCACACACACACACAGAAGTTTCTCAAGACCCCAGAGCCATCTCCCTCCCTTTGACGTGTTCGAGGAGGTGCGAATGTCAGGATCCAGTTCACACCAGGTTCTTGCTCTGATGCGCGACTATGGCGACTTGGGCGTAACGCTGTACGTGCCCAGTGCGGCCATGGCACCAAGAATTTCGATGACGAAGGGCATGCGCACGGGAGGCAAACATAAGCTCAAAGTCGTTGTGCACATGCTTGACGCGCGTTTGGCACCTCATGCCCGGGAGTGGGACCAGTGTGGGCATGGTTTCCATTTGCGTTGTTCAGGCAAGCACATAGCAGATATGGATTGGTTGGTTAGTCTGTTCATTATTGTTTCGAGCATTGAGAATGGAAGTTTATGGTTGTATCGTTCACGCAGGCCCTGAAGGGCAAATACGGTTGAGCGTTGAAACTCTATTCGCTAGAGTTGTTGGCGTGTGGAATGGAGTCCCATTCGTCGGATCTGCACCTTACTTCGCCTGGCACTGATCTGACGTGGCGGCAGGTCACGCACTTGGACGCGCTTGAAGGGATTCTGCCTAGAAGATCCAACCGCAGAGTTCATCGCACACAGGTCCTGCAAGGGAGAGTCGTGTTTTATCGATTTCCGAAGTCGTTGAGGAGAAAGCACCAGTCGGATTAAAGATCCGAGCGTATTCAGGTATGCAGCGGGCTTGTGCTCTTTTCCTGGCGCCTATCATCCATAAAAGTGCCTCGTCCCTGCAGGATGTAATCCAGTGAGAAAGAAATACTTTGCACCGGATTTTCAAGCTGCGGCCGAGGCCAGAAGAGGAGGTAGTCGAGCAGTATAAATCGGAGAACGGCTCACCATTTCGAGAGATGATTCCAGCATTGCCGCGTACAACCAGTCCATATGGCCACCAGTGGCAGAGACTAAATAAACAGCCGCCTGGCAGGGCAGGGATGCAGCACGTCTGGTGTGACGAGTCAAGGATGACCATGTTCGGCAATGGTGAGACCTTTCGAAGGGAATGCCAGCCGCGTGTCGTGGAGAGCAAGGTCTGCACCGGCAGGCAGAAGATCCAGAACGCGATATTCCGTGCCGCTTCGGGCCCAGCGTGGTAAGAGAGGCTCGCCGTTGTCACGTCGCACCGAGTGTTTGCTTGGCGGCGGAGGGCGTTTTCGTTGCCACTGTCGACTGGCATTTGCCATGTCCGACAACCGCTGGTCGCACTGAGCCAGAGGAGAAGAGGACAAAATACATCGTGTGGCACATTGGTGCCGTGCCTCTGCATGTGACGCTAGAGCGAAACAACTTCTGGAAAACGGGGCTCCGATTGACGCAGCTTGAGTTCACAGTTAACGGGCAATTCCTGGCCAGTGTGGCTGCGAAACCAGCATCGACAATGCCGCCTCCCATTAGTCTGGATGCGGCAACGCATGTTCCTTTTGCTTGGTACGCACTTCGAGCATAAAGGCTCTCATCTCAATCCCGTGGAGTAGCGCCCCTGGGAGTGCAACCATGTTGAGAATTGCGTTCTGGCACACGGTGCGAATTTCGACACCTTACTAGACGGGGCGTTGCGTTTTGCTTTCGATGCAATGCAATGTGGTGGAGGAGCAGCTGCAGTGGCATTTTCAGCGAAGTTGCAAAGAACGGCACAAGGAAGCTGAAACTTTTGCTCGAGGAGTTCTGGTGCAGCCGGCGGAATCAGCATTTCACGCGGAGGTCTCTTGTAGCCTGGGGCATTCGCCACCACCGCCGAAGAAGTTGAGGCGGCCCGCTGCACAACTGTTACCATAGTTTTTTTTCAAGTCTGGCATCCGGAGGAGGGGCGCGTCTATAGCAGGCGCAGCACATGAGAGATCGGCCTGCCAGCCAGTGCCCCGCGGAGACTTCTCATGTCCTCGATGGTCCTGGAAGCCTGCGAACTCCTTGTGGGGCACCGCAAGAAGTTCAACGATCGCCGACACATGTGCCCCTAGACTTCTAATAGCAAGACTGATCATCATCTGTACATGCTGTGCATGTGTCGCCGCGCTGTTTGTTCCGACGCGCGGTCTTACTTCTCGGGGGGGCCGCCTCGGCCACCAAGGCAAACGCCGCCTCGGACGCGGTGGGCTTGCCGTGGGTTTACGGCGGTGCTGGTGTCGAATGCCTGAGGCGCAGGGCGCAGGGCTTACCGTGGATTTGCCGTGGTGTCGGCGTCGTCCACATCGGCGCGTCGAGAACAAACGGCGCGGCGACATGTAAATAAAAAACACTCCTCCATCGTTCCCCTTTTACCCCCTCCCAGTCATCCTCGCCCTCACCACTCCGCTTGCCCGCCGGTCATCGCAGGCGGCGCCCTCCTTCCCGTCGTCCTTCCCGGTGCCGCTGCACGGGACCGCCGGGGCCGCACGGAGAAGCATCCAAGAGGAGGAGGAGGAGGAGGAGGAGGAGGAGGAGGAGGAGGAGGGTTGCATTGTTTTGTGTTGTGTTGCATTGCATTGCACTGCGTTGCGTTACGTTGCATGGCTTTGCATTGTCTCACATTTCCTCAAACACTGTATGCATTGTAGGGCTCATACTGCACTTCTAA